GCGAGCTGATCAGGAGCAGGTAAGTAGTGGATGTGTAGTTGACCTTTGCTGACTTGATCACGAACAAAGTGAAACTCTATCTCCATATGCTTTGACCGATTGTGAAACACAGGATTATGCGCAAGGAACGTCGCGCCAAGATTGTCAAACCAAAGAGCTGAAGTTGAAGGAATCATCTGGCCCAACTCATAAGGCAAAGTCTTTAACCAAAGAACCTCAGAGGCAAGGGTGGCAAGAGCACGATACTCACACTCGGTGGAGGAGCGGGCGGCAGATTTTTGTTTCCTAGTGGACCAGGACACCAAGTTCGAACCACAGAAAACCGCAAACCCTGTTATGGATTTGCGATCTTTCGGACAAGAAGCCCAGGAAGCATCCGAATAGCCGTGAACATGAAGAGAGGTTGATTTGGAAAATTCAAGCCCTCGAGCAATAGTACCACGAAGATAGCGTAAAATCCCAATGGTTGTCGGTGGGAGAGTGCTGAAACTGAGAAACATGTTTGAGAGCAAAAGATATATCCGGCCGAGTGAAGCTGAGATATTGCAACCCGCCAACAATGCTGCGATACATAGCTGGATCAGAAAATAGTGGAGAAGAGTCCATGGCCGACTGATGGATGATATCAATTGTTGACGGAGTAGAGATGGTATTGGCAGCAGACATGTGAGCACGGTCGAGCAGATCCTGAATGAACTTGCGCTAACAGAGGATAAGGCCAGTAGAGGATCGGTGTTACCTCAATGCCGAGAAAGTATGATAAGGAAATTTTTTTTGATTGCATTAATTCATAAATTATGACACGAGTTTGATCTCTATCAATATAAATAAGCTAAGCTAACAAAGAAGATATAAGATATAGAGAAGAAGAAAAAAATCTCTTTTTTCCTTCCTATTCTTCTTTCTGGAAAAAAAAGAAAGGATTATTTCGTTCCTGACGCAAAACTCCTATTTGGGAACTTGTTCAAGCAAATGTTCATTCTCCTCTTTTTTTGGACAGAATAGACAAATCATTTTTTTTTTCTTTTGATATCCCCGAACTGATGAAAAGAGACCCCAATTCCCTTAGAGCAAAATTATCATGAAGGAAGGCAAACAGCCGCTGAATGAGAGCAGAATCATTTCCTGTGATGACGATGTCATCAACATATACCAGCATATACAATCGAGTGACACCATCTTGTAAATAAACAAAGATGGATCAGTGTGTGAAATAGAGAAGCCAAACGGAGAGAGAGCAGCGGCAAGACATTGGAACCACCTTCTGGGCGCCTGTCAAAGTCCATATATCGACTTCCGATGTCGACAAACATGATCCGGATTGTCGGGATCAACGAAACCAGGCGGCTGCTGCATATAAACAGGTTCTTGTAATTCACCATGAAGAAAGGCGTTAGCAATATCAATTTGATGGAGAGGCCAATCCTGGGTAACGGCAAGACCGTGAATCAGACGAAGAGTAGCCGGCTTCAGACGGGGTTGTAAGTCAGCTGAAAATCGAGACCCAGAATTTGTTCAAAGCCACGCGAGACGAGACGAGCCCGTCGTCCATCGAGTTTACCGTCTGGATGAAGCTTGGTTCGATAGACCCATTTGTTGGAGAGAATATTGCAGTTGGGTGGAGGAGGGACCAAGTCCCAGGTATGATTCCGTAGCTGGGCAGTAACCTCGTCGGCCATGGCCGAGCGCCAGTGGGGATGTTTGAGGGCCTGTGTCACAGTATTGGGCGTGTCATCAAGATGCAGGTGAGAGAGAAGGCTACGAGGTTTGAGATTTCCCGTTTTTATGCGGGTGGCCATAGGGTGAGCAGAGGTAGTGGGATTGGTAATGGGAATCGGGCGAGGGGAAGTGGTGAACGGAGGACGATTGGGAATGGGTCGGCGAGGAGGCATGGGAGTGGAAGGACGAGGGACAGGAGAAGATTGGGGTTGAGGAAAAGTGGGGATGGGGATAGTGGGCGATGACGGGATGTTGGAGGAAGGGACAGGTCGTCGACAGTGATATTGAAGAAGAGGGCGAGGAGGATTTGGGAGCGGCGAAGGAATGGTTGGGGAAGAGGACGATGGCAAAGGGGAGCTGGATGTGGGAGCACGAGGGGGGCCAGGTGAAGGGGATTCAGTGGGCTGGGGAATGGTATCGGGCTGGGAAATGGTAGCAGGCTGGGAGGAAGGTGGGCCTGGAGTGGTGGAGTTAGGAGGATGTGGGAGAATTGGATCGGGCTGGAGAGCTAAAGTGGGCCGAGGGTAATGGGATGGCGGGGGTGAGGGTAATAAAATGGGCTTGGTTGTTAGGGGCATAGGAGAAACAGATGGTGGAGAGGAGAGTAGGTCGAAAAAGGGGAAACGATCATCATCAAACAAAACATGGCGGCTCACATATAGTCGACCAGTGGGAATGTGAAGCCAACGGTAACCTTTGTGAAGCTTGTTGTAACCAAGAAAAACACATGGGAAAGAACGGGGAGCAAGTTTGTTTGGTGCGAGTGGGTGAAACCATGGATAACAAAGACAACCAAAAACACGAAGATTGGAGAGATCAGGAGCACGGTTAAAAAGAAAATGAAAAGGAGAATCAGTGTGAAGATGAGGTGTAGGTGTGAGATTAATGAGATAAAATACAGTATCAAAAGCAAGGGTCCAATATTTTTGTGGGACGTTAGAGTGATGAAGAAGAGCAAGACCGTTGTTGACTATGTGCCGATGTTTGCGTGCAGCACAGTCATTCTGTTCAGGAGTGTATGGACATGAGGAGCGATGAGCAATACCATGTTTAGAGAGATAGGTAGACAGAGCTTGATATTCTCCACCCCAGTCAGATTGAAAAGTTTTAATGGGGAGGCCAAAATATTTTTCTACCAATTGACGAAATTGAATGAAAACATTAAGCAACTGAGATTTATAACGAATGAAATAAATCCATGAGAATTTTTTTTTGGTAGAAATCCATGAGAATTTGCTATAATGATCATAGAACAAAATGTAATAGGATTGCTCATCGTAAGACAAAATAGGAGCAGGGCCCCATACATCACTACAGACAAGTTCAAGGGGAGCAGTTGCTTGAAAAGTGGAGGAAGAAAGTGGAAGCTTGTGGATTTTACTAACGGCACAACCATGACACAAAGAGGAAAGAGAAGAAATAAACTTTATTTGATGCTGATGAAGAGCGTGCTTGACGGACCTCTCATTAGCGTGACCAAGACGATGATACCAAACGTCAAAAGAAGCCGCACAAGCAATGGGAGGAAGATGACGGGAAATATGCAGTGGAAGGGAGTACATACCATCCACCGCATAACCTCGATGAAGTTCATACCCCGTGCGTCGATCCTTGATGAGAAAAAGAGAATCCAAAAATTCAATGGAGATAGGATTAGATCGAGTGAGAGAGCTGATAGAGAGCAAATTATACAGAGCATGACGGACATGAAGAATGTTATCCAAAGAAATGGAAGTGTTTGACAATGAAGTGGAGGAGGAACCAAAACTAGAGATGGGAAGAGAGTTACCGTTGCCGAAGGTGACCTGATCAGTGCCATTATATTCAGAATGATGAGCAAGGTTGTCTAAATCCGAGGTAAGATGATGGTTGGTGCCAGAATCGAGGAGCCACTGCTGCAGATTAAAGGGCTGGGCAGGAGAGGAGGAGAATAGGGTATGTGGGCTGTAGGGAGGGGCCGAATTATATTGTGGGGCGGACTGGGCATATTTGTTGGGTTGTTGCTGAAATGGGCTTGGGCAATGGGACTTAACGTGGCCACCCCCACCACAGTTGTGACACACAACAGGACTAGTGGCCCGAGGCCCAAGAACTCCATCACCCGCGTTACTCGACCTGCCAACAGAAGAAACAAACATATTTGGGTTAGAATAAAAATGCATGCCGCCGCGAGAAAAACCCCGACCACGCCCACGTCCGCCTCTGCCGCGAAATCCACCGGCGCTGGAATAGAAAGCAGCAGGGGAAGGAGAATCCGAACGAGAAGAGAATCGCTGGATCTGAAGCTCTTTGCTGAGGAGCAAGGATTGGAGATCTTCGAAACTGATTGAGGCCATCCGTGCTTCAATATGACGGACGAACGGTCGATAATCCTCACCAAATCCGTAAGAATCCAGCCGGTAAGATCATCGTTGGAGACGGGAGAGCCCAGGGCAGCTAACTGATAAGCTTTGGCTTTGGCATCCTGTAGGTAATCATGAATTGTGGCATCACCACGGCGGATATGCTGAAGTGTCTTGGTGAGCTGCCGAATATGGATGTGAGAACCAGAAGCGTAGATGGTAGCCAGCGCCGTCCATGCCTGAAGAGCCGGTGTCTTGTTGATGACGTTCGGGAGTACAACTTCAGAAAGGGATAAATTAATCCAAGTAAGCACATACTGGTCACGATCATACCAAGTCCAGTACACCGGATTGAGTTGGCCATCGACAATTTGCGGAGGAGCAGGGAGAGTGCCGTCAACATGACCCATCAAACGATAACATCGTAGAAGAGGGGTTATTTGAGTGTGCCATAGCAGGTAATTGGTCGGCGTAAGTTTGACAGTCAGTTGTGGGTTGATAGGGAGAGACAACGTAGACACCGGAATGGAAGTAGATCCAGCAGAGGGAGCAGTGGAAGAAACAGAGGAAGACTCTGTTGCCATTTTTTTGTTGGTAGAGAAAGAAGAAGAAGGGAAGAAGAAAGAGACAGAAAAGAAGAGAGAATTTGACTCGTTAGAGTGCTAATGGCTCTGATACCATGAAGACTCAAAGCTTAAGTTTCTATTATTGATTAAACATATTTATAGTACACAGCAACAGAGTGCAACGAATGAATAGCAACAGAAGGAGTGAAATAAGGAACAGAAAGAAGTGGCCAACGTTCCACTACTAACAGCTAACAGCAAAGGAGAAACTTAGGGACTAAGTCCCTTATCACCAAGGATCTCCCTTGAAGCCTATGTACCGTATGAAATTCTGCGGTCAATCTACAGCCAATACTATTCGAGTTCTCCATCTATGCCACTAGCAACGCTCAACGTGGCTTCTCCTCGCCAGTCCCCTGTTGTGCCCTTAGGACACGTTTCCCCTGGTATGCGCCAGCTTCGTGGGGACTCAACACCTCAGTATTGGGCTAATGATTCTTCTTCGAGCTACTTCAAGGGCTCATATATCCAGGAGCACCCTTACGATACTGATGGTGGTGGGAGTGCGAGGAGCAGAAATAGTGACAACAACAACAACAACAAATCCAGGAATGTTAGACGGTCTGGTCCGCTGGATTACAGCTCAGGCAGGAAAGCTGAACACACGGAAGGGTCGTCTAGCACGGGGATAAGCCCACTGCCGAGGTTCGCAGTGTCGCGGTCTGGTCCTTTGATGCATAAGTAAGCTACAGAAAGGAGGTGGCCATGGTAGTATGTTTTTCTATATGATCTTTCTGTTTCTTATTTTGATGATAGTTGTGTATATGTATCCTGTATCTACCAGACGTCCAGACCCCATGTTACACTGTCGAATCCCAGTTTGGTTTTAGTCATGAATCAGACACTTATAATGGGAGATGAAGAACCCAAAGCTGCTTCATTTGACAAGAGTAAATTCGCCGAGTTTACAAGGTTGCAGAGGTAAACACCATCTATCTCAAGCACATCAATCCGCAACCACATATCAGAAGACAGAATAACAAAAAAAATGAACACTTCTGAGAGATGGATCGTTTCTAGTATTGGTCCACTGGACATAACGATAAGCAAGAACTAAGAAGGATAGCAATAAACAGCAAGAAAAAGGAAGGAGAAAGGTTGGTGGGGGACTTAATAGGTACTTCGAGGCTGATCTATGACAGAACTATGGATCTAGGTGTGTGATTTAGGGATTGCAATGGATTATGGATTGTGAATTTAGGTGAGAAAGAATTGGGAATTGGATGAGAGAGAAGGCAGAGTTGGGTTCCCGGGAAGGGGAGGCGCCGACGGTGAAGAGAGGGGAAAGGGGATTCGGCCAAGGTGAGATAGATAGAGAAAGAGTTTGGGAACAATTTTGTGTTATTGCTTGCCCTTGACCTAACATAACATGACATATATATATAAATCGACTATTTCCTGTTTGCTACCCGAATAATTAACCTAACCAAATAAACCCCCATAATTCCTGCCCTAGCACAATATCTGAATAATACGCAAATAACAAATAAACCCCAGTAATTATGTTTCTCACAATCCATCCCCCTTGAAACCCACCTTGCCCTCAAGGTGGGCCATCTTTCTTGTCCTCCTCCTTCATCTAGCCCACTTCCGCTCCCAGCTCCAATTCCTCGCCTTCATCTTCCCAATTCCCGACCAGCAGCATTAAATGTCCCTTGGCGCATTGGTGTCCCACGGTATACCTCTCATCACAATTGAAACAGCGGCCGTCCCTGCGCTTCTGATCCATTTCCACTTGGGTCAATCTCACGAACCCGCGGGGTGGCACCCTAGCTGGAAATCGAACTCCTGAAGCAGCCCCAGCGGCTGGCGGGCTCGAAGTCGCAGCCGACGGTGCGGGTAACACCGCCCCAGCCCCAGCGCCACTACTCGCTCCTCCGTTGGCCTTCTGTATCCTTCACACGGAGGACCTCTAGCTGGCTAGCTCCTCCTCCTTGCGACCTGCAAGTCTAAAAGCCACTCGAAGAGAATCAGGTTCAAAGACCTTGACCGTTGTGGCCAATTCCGATCGTAGTCCTGCCATGCACAGCCCCACCAATGTCTCCTCAGTCATCTCCTTACATTGATTCCCGTGCTTCAGGAACTCGGCCCGATATTCGGCCACGCACCCTGTCTGCTTCAGCTTGGCTAGCTGCTCTGGTGCCCATCCCTCCGCTCTTCCGAACTGGTAACGGAGCTCCTCCTGAAACCTAGGCCATGAGATGTCTGCGCCTGTTGCCGCGTACGCCCGCTCAGTCCATTCCTACCACTGGAGGGCATCCCCTTCCAAATAGAAGGACGCCAGATGCGCCTTCCTCTCCACCCTGATTGGGTGGTTCTTGAACCACCGCTCCGCCGCATATAGCCACAATCCAACATCATCCGTTCCGTCAAATTTTGGAAATTCAATAACCGGGGGTTTAGCTCTGAACACCAACTCATCATCATGATCATACAGAGGGTTGCTGTACCCATACCTGCCGCCGTCCGATGGTTGTGATGGGCGACCCGGCCCGGCTTATAATGTCGATAGTCGGGATCCGCATTCCGCCTCCCCGAGTAGGCCCATTCGGCCATCTCCCGCTGATAATCTTCCTCGCGCCCCGGCTTGGTTCCAGAGCCCTGCCCCACTTCCATCCTGCGCCCTTGATCAGCTCGCAGAGTCCCCCATGCTGGGGACCTGGTCGATCGCGCCCGGACCCGCCACCGGCTCCGCTCCAGCCGCTGCCCCGTGGAAGTTGCCCCTGTTCGGGTCGGTGTGGCCCCGGTTCGCCTAGTCTCGGTCCAACCGATTCCGGTTCTACCGGTGCTGGTCCAGCCAGTCATTGACCCGAACGGTCGCCCGATCTAGTCCTCCATTGGGTCAGCCACCCAATTCTGGTCAGGCCCGTCGGCCCCAGGGTCCACCCACCATCCTTCTTGGTCCGCGAAGCTTAGCTCATCATCTTCCGGGCCCAACCCATCGAACTCGACCACCTTCTTCTTCCCGCGGGCTTCAGTGATCTCTTGGGCCGTTGGAACGGGCAGCAGACCCGGCCCACTAAACACCGGCGCGGCCCACTCCTCCCCGTCGTCGCCTGCTTCCCCGGCCGACCTCGGCCCTGTGGCCTGGACCTCCCTGCCCATCGCGGGCCCTGACGGATTGGTGATCGCCGCCACGGCCATGCCGCCTGCCGCGCTCCCCTCCTGCCGCAGCCTCCCTGCCGACAGCAGCCCTCGGCGGCCTGGTCACCGCCGCTGCGGAGGCCCCGCTCGCGCCGCCTGCCGCGCTCCCCACCTGCGCCGCGTTCTCCCGGGCGACAGCAGCCCCCGGCGACTTGGATACCGCCATCGCGGAGGCCCTGCTCGGCGCGCTTCCTTCAGCCGCGCCCGCCTCCTTCGTGAGAGCGGCTGATCCTCCGGCGCCTCCCTCATAATCTCTGTTAGGGCTCGACACAGATTCTCCGTCACTATCTTACTCATCTCCTCAATGAGATGGCGATTTGGCCTCCCAGCGCCTCCATGGCCCTAGTCGAGTCCCGCGAGGCAGCAGCTGCCTTTTCTGTGGACTCTGTTAGGCTTTCCAGCGTCGTGACGATCACGTCATACTTGTTCGTTGTTATGTCCTTCACGATCACGATCTCCTTGCCCTGCTTCTGCTGTTGCGGCTTGTCTGTGTTCGTCATCTTCAACTTCTGAGGTTTTCAATAAATCAGCACAGCAACTAGGCTCTGATACCACTGACAGAACTATGGATCTAGGTGTGTGATTTAGGGATTGTAATGGATTAGGGATTGGGAATTTAAGTGAGAAAGAATTGGGAATTGGATGAGAGAGAAGGCAGAGTCGGGTTCCCGGGAAGGGAGGCGCCGACGGTGAAGATAGGGGAGAGGGGATTCGGCCAAGGTGAGATAGAGAGATAGAGTTTGGGAACAATTCTGTGTTATTGCTTGCCTTTGACCTAATATAACCTTACATATATATAAATCGACTATTTTCTGTTTGCTACCCGAATCAACACACATATATATACAACAGTGCAAGTATGGAGTTTGCCACATCAGCCATTCGGAAGCCGTCCTTAATTTGAGGAAGGGTTTTAACGTTAATGAACACATTAATGTAGCCGCAGCAACAAAATAAATGGGCCGCTCAATTTGGGCTGTGTGAATGAAAATTTGACACAAACTTATGTTCATTTTAGTTTATTTAGGCTGGATATATGTGTTGTGGGTTATAAATAAATTTATAACTTGATTTGTACGGTAAAAGTTATATCTTTTAAGGCTGTGTGACTCCCGTTTTTCTCACCGAATCAACGTCAAACCAGTAAACCCGATGTGAACATAAGTATTACATACCATTGAATTTTTTATTAAGTTCCTTAAAAATGTGTACTAAATGTAATATATGAAGCATCATACAAACTGAAAAAATGAGACAACTCAACAATAATATATGTTTGTCAAGTGCAGCAAATGCATAGCTTATCGGTCTCAATGCTGACATTTTGATGCATTAAATATATGACAATCTGTCACTTAAATGTCCTTGCTATACCACATAATTATTATTAAAAGAAAAAACATATATTGGGATACGGGTAGGGCCTAAACCTATTAATCGTTTGGGGAACTCAGAGATCAATTATTCTACGATGGTTGAGCCTTGAGGTGGGACCTAGCTAGACCTTAATACCACTCTATTGATTAGTTGCATTTCTCAATAAAATTGCAGCAAACTAAGTATGTGTTTGCTTCTTAGATTTTCACTTCGCTTACCAATTCAACGTGAAATTATCGATGTTCAACATAGTTGTTGTTATATGCATGGTTGTGTTATATGCTTTCAAACAGCGGAGATATATCTTAACCAATACTACTATGAAAACTACAAAACATCACCATAATAGCAACTTATAAGTAATAACTTAGGTTCTATAATTATCTTTACATAAACTCAACTTGATATCAATTTTTTTATGATTTAACATTGCATGAAGTGAAGGGTTATCCCATCACTAATCCTTAAATTAATTATGCAGGTATATAGTTGATAAGCCACCCATGAATTTATGTTCAATATTAGAGAATTAAATAACTTTTGAGTTGTTAATTGACTAAAATGAAGAGTCGAGATTACTATATTAGAGTTCACAATCATAAGGCACATGCGCATATTGACGCTTCCATTCATGATTGTCAAACAACGATCATGATTGAGAAATAGAGGTGGAGAGGGTTTGAGAGAGGGGGGGGGGGGGGGGAGAAAAATGGAGTGTTGGTAAAAAGTATAAGATCGATAATTGTACATCTCCCAATAATTTAATATTATTGATAAGCCAACCATCAATTTATGTTCACCATTAGAGCGTTAAATAACTTTTTGAGTGGTAGAGTAAATGAAGGGAATTTTGAATACAATCCTATAGTAAACTTAAGAGTTGAGATTACAATATTAGAGTTTGCCATGGGCGCACACGCATACTGACGATACGTCCAGGGTTGTCAAACGACAATCATGAATGAGAAAGAGAGGTGAATAGGGCTTGAGAGAGAGAAGGGAGAAGAATAGTGTGTTGGTAAATGATATAAGATCGATAATTGAACAACTCTAAATAACTCAACTTATTGAGGCTAATTGGTTCTAGACATGGAGAAGAGGAAGAGAGATATGGACATGGAGAGGAGGAACCGGAAGGGCGTCAAAGAGAGAAATGGAAAGAGTGAATTGAGGGACGGGATCAGGTGGTTGTGAAAATTAGATAGAAAATTAGATAGAACTTTGAACTTGATTATATGTTGAATGAGAACATACAAATTATGCTTAGAAATATAAAATTATACTCCAAATATAAAAATCTTAAATTTCTATCTTACAATATTATTAGAGATGGAAAGTCAACCCTATCGATCAATAGTGATATCTACACTGTCGAATTCTCTATCCTTCTCCCATGCGAAAGGGAGCCGCCTAATTGTGCAAGCCATGAGGTTTTCAGCAATGGTCATGCTAACTAGGGATGTCAATGGGTCGGATTTTGCCAAACTCAAACCCAAACTCATGGGTTTATCCGTCAAAAAATCAGGGGTACAACCCAATGGGTTTGAAAAACTCAAACTCAACCCAATCCGCTGGGTATCCACGGGTTCATGGGTACCCATGGATTTTTGTGGTAAAAAATTTACAATGACAAATTCATATCAAAATAAAAGTCAAACACTAATTTCTCTAAACAAATTGTAAATTAGATTGGGGAAATTAGAATTAGGGTAGACTTTGAAAAGAGTAGGAGAAGAAATAAGTGTGGGCGGGTATCCATGAGTCGGGTATCTCTAAACCCAAACACAACCCAACCCGATGAAAGTATAACGAGTTTAAACCCAAACCAAACCCAAAACCCGTCAACATGGATTTTACCCACACTGATCGGATTGGGTTAGGTAAGATACCCATGGGTTCGGGTTTTGTTGTAATCCCTAATCACACTAATGCTTCCACTACTACTGCAAATTTTAAAAATATCCAACAATACAATTAAGAATTCACTTTTAATCTCTTTAGATAATAAAATATGGAAAAGTAACTCATGAATTGAATTGATGTCTAATTGAATAATCAAACCCGACCAACGGGTCGGGCAAAGCTGCTAGTAATTAATCTAAACGAATAAACCCCATAATTCCCGCCCTAGCACAATATCCGAATAATACGCAAATAACAAATAAATCCCAATAATTATGTTTCTCACAATCTCGGCATGAGCTCCTGGACCTTGCTGGGATCATTTGCTCTGGTTCGCATCAATGGCCGACTAATCTGATCCAGAGGAAACTCCCTCTATGATTGGCCCTCCCGTCCCTCCCTGCTGTGCATCCTCTTAAAACAAACAAACAAAAACTACGAATCAAATACAACGATGACAACCTTCTTCATTGTCACCACTGAGAAGAAGAATCTCAATTACCATTACACGAGGAAGCAGCTGCTGCTGCCACAGAGAAGCCTCTGAGGTTAGCAGTTGGTACTCGCAGGGTGAAGTCACGCCAATTATCATGATCAATGTTAATGGTCATTTCTGTGCAGATTAATTACTAGGTCTAGGCTGCTACACCTTCGTGTCCTTCATCCTGTAAATTGTTACCTTGAATGTATGCTAGAATAGGAAGAGGTTATCGTTTGATGGCGTGGTTGAGATCATCATGATTCATGAGTTGGTTTTGTGGTCTACCATTCCTCCCTTATTGGTCGAATCGTGGTTTTCTTCAGCATTGGTTTTGCTTGATGTACTGCTTTGATGAATAGGCTGACGCGAAAGCAGCAGCTGCTACTCTTGATGAAGGAGCTCCCACTATGTATGTACTCTTCATATTCTGTAAACCGGGTTCCAAGAGCTGACACTTGATGAGTTTCTTTGTTTTGCATCTGGCGGTCATGTTTGGGATGCAGGGTTGTATTTAAATTAGGATTATATCATATATAGAAGATTTGATGATGCATCAACACATGTAATATTTGTCCGAGTCATATCGACATTTTGTTCCTCATCTGTATATGTTGTTTTTCCCCCTTCATTCGTCAGTTTTGACAAGATCATAGCCAAGGAAATCCCTTCATTCATAGTGTATGTAGACGAAAAGGTCCTGGCATTCCGGGACATCAGTCCTCAAGCTCTTGTTCATGTCCTAATTATTCCAAAGATAGGGGATGGGCTGACAGAGCTTGGCACAGTAAGCTTTCATCCATGTTTTCATTATGTAGACTAAAAACAAAGCACATACACGTCAATCGCTTGTGTAGTTGTAGCTCTGCAGTACATTTCCCCCCCTTTCATAGATAGAAAGCATTTGCATGCTTGAGATGAACTGGAGCTTACATGTTTTGCAGCACTGTCTTGAAGGAAGTCACTTTCAGGCTGATGTGCGTCTTATTAGGCAAATCATTCTTTCACGATGTCACTATGCATTTACTCCCTTTTCTCTTGTTTTAATTGTTCCCAGAGTTTATTCGCTTATTCCTTCCTTGGATGCCAAAACGCACTCTGCCAACTTCTCTCTATTCTGCCAAAAATAGTTGCAGAGAAAAAAGGTATAGTTGATGAGTTTCGGGTGGTTATCGACAGTGGCCCTACTGCCTGTAAGCACCAATCTTTCATCTGTTAGTCTGGAGTAAGTGCTCCTTCATTCATTGTTTCCCACTGCCAGAGTTCGTGTGATGATCTCTGCGGGTTGCTTATCCCGGATTCCCGGTCAATCTGTTTAATCTCCACCTGCATGTCCTGGGAGGAAGACAGATGAAGTGGCCTCCTGGTTAGCTAGCTAAAGCGAATTCCTCTCCATCGTTGTGTCTGCTGCAACTTCTACTACCCCAGCTGGAACTTCACTTGGAAACTGAGTGGCTAGAGAGCGCTAGTCGGCCTGCAGGTCTTCGCTCATGGCCATCGGAGCAAATTCCATCCCTCATTTCAGCCTCTTTCTATTGCTTCCATTAGTTGTTGCATGACTAAAGAAGACGACCAATCAAACAGGCGAATTCCATGAAATCAACCTGTCCTCAACTTCACGGTTCCATGTCCTTTGCACATTAGACACAGGGAACCTGTGAACGAAAAGACGAACCAAAGGTTCCTAACAGAAGCATTTGAAAAAACGTAACCCATGATTTTGATGAGGGAAACTCTTTTAATTAGAACATTGTGATCAACTTATCATTTGCCTAGATGTATAAAATCAATGAATCGCAGTTCTCTGTGAGGATACAAGGTAAATAGAGGGAGAAAAATAAATTTACAAACTATGCTTGCTGTCGAAAGTAAGCCTTTGACAAAATCATCTATCGCTGGTAACCTTCCCTGTTGAAGGAGCAGGCAAGACCTGGAAGTATAGGGCACAAACTGACCTCATTCTGCAGAAGTTCATCAGCGTCCATTCATCTTCTGATTTCCAGGATTTCGATTACGATGTGCCTAGATGAGTCCCTTACGGATCATTGTGTACCACTAGTTCACAGACACAGAAAGACAAAATCCTACTCATCATCATATGGAGGTTAGGAAGCCAGTCTTGTTTGTACACAGGCAAGAACAATCTGGCTCACTCAAGTCCCTCTTGATGAGCCTTTTATCACGATTTATCATCAGCTTTATCAATGGTAGCTTCTGTGACACTTGACGCCATATTTCATTCACTGCTCCATTTGGTTCCCCATACTCAAAATAGTGGCTTACCTGAAATCAGTAGCCAGTCACAGTTACATCATCTTAAACTCAGGTATAAGCTACAGGGATCATAAAGACAATCAAAAAAACTGTGATGATTGCAATCAGCTTAACAAACATGTCGCGTAAGTTATATCTTATGATCAGGCGATCAGCAGTAGCATCTGCAATTCAGCTCCTCAGCAGTAACAAGACTCGTTCATGGCACATACAATACTCTGCCTAACCTCTCCCAGTTCAAACAGATTAACAAGCAAATAGGCGATAGATTGGACGATCTTTTGAGGCTCATCGTAAGCAATGTAGTAACATATACCTGTTTCAGCTCTTTCTGGAACTCCAGAATTCTCTCTGTGCTTACTCCTCTCAGCAAACTAGCCAAGTAGCCAGGTCTCAGAGAAGCTTTTGTGCCCACAAAGATTGCAATCTTTTTATAGTCTATCACATCTTCAAAAGGCAACTCAATGCTGTCACTCACGATCACAGGAACACACAAGCTAACAATCGCATCGAACAGCCTGCAAGCCGACGGAGTGTCCCCGGCCGGATTCAAACAGAATTTTGAAGTATGCATCCCACGAGTGGCCGCCCGGCGATTCTCCCTCGACTGCGTCCCGTGTTTTATGATCACATCGTCCTCGGTTTCCAGCATTTGGAATAGCAAATCCCGAATTTTGCCTCCCTGAAACAAGAACAATAACAACAGAACACCCCGGAAATTCAGCGTGGGAATGAGAGAGAGAGAGAGGATCAAGCAGAGGTGAATTGGAGGGAGAAAGCTTACATCTTTCCGGTACCGATTGCCCATGAAGAAGAGCAGTGTGTTCCGCTTCTCCACTCCCAATTCGCCGGTATAAGAGTTGATCCGGTGGGCGTACGGTATAATCAGGTCCTTGATCAGCGATCCTTGATCGGGCCTCACGCGGCCGAAATCGGACAGCAAGAGCACCGAGTTCTTCACCTGGTCCATCACTCGGTAGAGCGCATTGGGATCTCCGGCGGCGATCACGTGATCCCTACCGCTGTTCCGTCGCCAGTACACCTGCTGCTCCAGCCACTGCACCAGCTCGTCCTGCATCTTCTCGTCGCTGTAGGCCTGATCCGCCCCAGGGCGATTCGTGTTCACGATCAAGCTGAGAGAAGAGAACACCGGGACGAAAAACAGGTCGGCCTCCTCCGGATCGAGGACCCTGACGACGGGCGATCCGACCCGCTCCTCCTCGGTCCGATTCAGATCGGCGAACAGGTACCATTCCCCCATGTGCTGGTGGCCCGGGTACCTCGACTTGGAGAAATCGGAGGAGCCGCGAGCCCTAGCGTGGCCCTCGATGATGCCGACGGTGAATTGCCTGGGGAGATCGTACATGAAAACCTTGACCCTGCTCGCGGCGACGGCGGAGCCGACGAAGACGTCATCGCGGACGACGCCGTCGGGGAAGAGGGGAGAAGGAGGGGAGTCGGTGGGGTGGAGGAAAGTGTTGAAGAAGGCGTAGAGGACGAGGACGAAGCAGGCGGAGCAGACGATGGTTTGTTTGACGAGGGAGGATTTTCGCGCCATTGCGGAGTGGTGATGGCTGGAGGAGGAGGAGGAGCTTTGGAATTTATTAGGGTTTCTGGATTTGGAAGGAGTAGACGGAGCCTCCATCGCGGCGGCAGAAAGTGGTGGTGGTGGTGGAAGCGCAGGCGGAAGTGGCGGTGATGGGCAGCGCAATTTTATATTATCGTGCGCTGGGTGCGTAGGATAGGATGCCACGGCTGCGTCGTTTGGGGTAAAGGAGCTCCTGGTCCTGCTAGCTAGCTAGCTAACGGTAAAGCAAAGCAATTTTGGGGATGGGAAATTGTGCAGAGACTACCTAGAATACATAACAAAGAAAAAAGGAATTTTAAACATTTGTCCGTACTCCATTCCTTTAAAAAATAAATATATACTATTATTTGTCAGTTACAAAAAAAAAAAAAAAAAACTTTCAATTTTGATTAATGTGTTCTACTTCTAGGGGAATTAAATCTAGGATATTGACAACTTCACATCTCTTCCCTACATAATAAATGGAGAAATAATAACTCATAATTGGCCTCTTAAAATAGAAATAATTATTCTTGTAAATGCAATTGGGTTTTTGTCCATATGAATTAACGTATTGTAATGCTTTTGGATGGATAGATTGCGACGTCAAAATGCATATGAAACAATATAACGACCAAATTTGAGTTGAATAATTATTCTCCCATCCAAAGCAAATTGAGCTATTGAATTTGAAGGTACACTCTTTGGCGGTGGTTCAAATTGGAGGGTGCAAGTTGAAATGAAAATTAAAGGGGTGTAAATTGGTAGGGTAGAGGAAGTTCTGCATTGCTTATCTAACCAGCAAGGGTTTAGTGTTCGATTTGTAGGTCGGCGTAATAATAGGGCAGCCCACTTGGTGGCTTGAAAGGCCCTTCTTTTGTACCCGTCTGCAAGTCGGTTCTTTGATTTCGAGACCTGGCTCCATTCCAGGATATAATTGTCTCTTTTCTGATCAATATAAGATTATCTTTTGTCAAAAAAAAAGGGGAAGGAAATTATTGTTTGGAATAAAAATATAGTATGCAAATAGAGTGTCAAATAAGCAAAATATTTTTATTATAGAATAAATTTATTAAAAATTTCAAAATAAATAAATTTATATTATAAACATAAATAAATTTTAATAAAAATTATTGTTAAATAGTAATGCTCAAATAGTAGTCATTGAAAATGTCCAAAATTTTGAAAGTTCAATGACAAATATAGCATGTTCCGTTACAAACTATAACGGCAGTCGTGAATCCCTGTTAGTTATGTAAATGATCCGCTTATTGGACTGGCAACTCACCCTACACCTAAGCAACATGTCAGCTTATGGCGATACGTCGATGACACGTAATTTTTGTAATTATTTTTTAAATTTCGGGTTCTTATACCCTATCCTTGGCTCGCGGGTTCCTCTTCTTTCCCCAACTCCCCATTTTCAATTTGAGTGTTCAGAGAAACAGAAAAACTCCCCGCCGCCGCTGGTGACCTACATACTCCCGCCGTCGCTGATGCACCCTCGCCGACGTGCTGAGGAAGACGAAGCTGTGGAAGAAAGTCAGAAATTTGAAGCCAAAAAAGAGCTCTGAGGTGGTGTAGTAAGCTTGAGTTTGAAGCTTGAAAGGCAGCAAGGAGTTTACTTGATTATAGAGCTTATAGCCTGTAAGCACTAAGAGAAGATGGAGAACACCAAATGAAGCTGGAGCAGAAAGAGGATCGGAGCTTAATGGAAGCCTTGAATTTCTTGTGTGCAAAAGATGTTGTTTGGAGCAAAGAAGGGAAGATGAACACCATGACTCGGCTGAATTTGTGTCTCTATGTACTTGTATCAAAATTGTTATATACATTGTATAAACCTTTACAATGATGGTCATATTTGATGGGCGATGTTAAAAAATGGTGCTTATTGTTTTCTCTTATCAGCCCAGCAAACAGTTTCTAGGGTGGAAGAAGATACTGGTGGTATAAGAATGACTAATGATGTCAGCGACGAGACGGAATTGCAGGAAAGCATACATCAAGACAGGGACACAAGCAACGGTTGTGATGGTCACAGTAGTCCATGTATAACTATAGCCAAGGGTCATGAAAAGGGTGGAGCTGAAGGCCATCATCATGGTGGCGATGGAGATGAAAAGGGTGAGAAGCCCGGTGAGCAGCTTGTTTGGTAACGAGGAGAGGAAGTCCTCTTCAGCATATCGTGAGGTCAGCATGGACAGGAATATCAAGATGGATGTCGCCGAAGAGACCAAAGCAAGTGCATCGGATATAACAAAGATCAAGAACGACTTGGTGTGGAGGTGAAGGGGCATGCCTGTATCCTGGTCGTTTCCACCAGGAACAGTGAAAGCCGCTGCAAACATCATGGTGGTGATGAGGGTTGCGACGACCATGCAGGAAGATGCAGTTTCCTTCATCCACTTCTCCCCATCTCTTGCCAGTTTTTTGTGTTCTGTTGCAAACAGATCGTGAGGAGTTTTCCCATCTGCATTCTTCATCTCGCTATATAGCGGTTGCACAATTTTCTCCACTTCCTGCATTCAGGGCTTGCAGTAAAAGTAACCCGAGTCAAGACATTACAGTTAACATCAAACAAGAAAGCTTCAGAGCGCAAGGAATTGGATCTAAACCTTGAACCATAATATCTCACGTCGCAACTGCAAAGCTGCACCATTGTCCGTGTTCAGTCGACTTGGATGGGGAAGCTTCCCAGCCAAGTGCAACATGTTATTGTTCTCTTCATCCTTATAAATAGCTATAAAGTCCTTCAGTGCTCCTATCTCATTGATAAGACTGAAGACCTTTTCTTGTCGATGCACCACTGCCGTGTGGAATATGCTTCTAGAATGTTCGTCAACCTTCCAAATCAGGTCAGGATAGGAGCGAATCAGAATGGTTAAGAACTCTACCATTCCGAGCTCTGCAGCTGTGAAAAGCAGCCGTGTGGGTGTCCTGATGAACTCTTTAACACTCGCATTGTCTAGATGCAATATCAGATCCCAAAGTCGCTTTGCCAGCTCAAGGGCTTGAGTGTGACTGAGCTTCATGTAGTATATCAAATTTGCATCTGGGACTGCAGAAATGTGTTAAAATAGTTGGTCAAAGCAGTTAAGCTGCATAAGGTAGGAGCAACACGAGCGATACTACGAACTTACCAAGATGAGCGACACTTCTTCCTATCGCTGGTGTTGTTAGTAATGCCATCACAAAGAGAATAAAAATTAGTGATGTCAAAAGAGGAAGCAAAACTGGACAACATCATCCTAAGAAAGCAAGTCTGCAAAGTTGGTAAGTATCCTCTTGCACAAAGAACTGCTATACTAGACATCTTTGGAAAAGCTTTCACTGCTCAAAGCTGGTAACATGGTTTTATGGGTTGTCGTAGAGTACGGTTGAAGTGTTTTGATGTGACCCCTGATTTCTTGAGTTCCAAGTAAAAGAAACTGATTGCACAAACGTGTTTCATTATTTACTGTAGAAATGCATGCACTTCTACAAGTTATGTGCATGTTGCTAATGAGATGGAGAGAGAGAAGAACCTCGGAGAATACGTCGGCCTAGACGATCATCTTGCATAGAACCAGAGGACCCCATAAATGGCACCTGGATACCTTCAACATTCCACGAAGTAATACTCAGAAATATTAAGCATCTAAAGCATTTCTGACCTTCAATTAGAGGAATTCACATTGTTTTAATGGGGAAACTACTCCAATTTGGGATGCAAATCGATAATCCTGGGAACGTAATTACTGGAACATGATCACCATGGCATCATCACAGGGGGCCACATAAGCCATCTTACTGATAGTAGAACAATGATATGTGTAAATAGTGCAGAACTTGGAAGGTGCAACTAACATGAATAGATGCATCTCCTCCAAATGCCCAATTGAGTTCCACTGTAAAATGCACCTGGCTTTCGGCACAACACATGAAGAGCTGATTCGCCATTTGCATCTCGAGTTGTAGCTAATTCAGGATGGTTACGGAGCAGTGCCAAAGCTAGATCTGGTGGAAACAAATGCTTCTCTAGATATGGTTAGTACTTATTACTCACTATGGACATCTGCAGAGTACAAAACAGTAGCTTAATGAGTAGTCGAAGTTAAGGTCAAAGGTACCAAATAGATCGGATGTGATAGCAGCCACAAGAAGTCCAATTCGATCCTCTCCAGAAAGAGCACTGTCTTCTGTAACAGAGTAAAGATACCAAGCCACATCTCTTTTCCCCAAAAGCACAGCCATGTAGAGAGGCGTCGCTCCTTTACTGCCTCTAAGTAGTGGCAAGCTTCTGTTCTTGTTCACCAACACTTTGGCGATCTCCGTGACACCAGCGACTGCAGCGAAACACAGCGCAGTGTTCCCTACCTTGTTCTGCAGGGCCAAGTCATCTGCCGTCATCCTCTTAACCAGCTTCCTAACAAACACAATGTGCCTCGCGCCAGCTGCAATGTGAAGCGCAGTTTCTAGCCCCCTTGTGATGTAAGCACGAATCGACGTGGGGTGCCATTGCAGGTAAGCCTTAGCCGTCTTCCAATCGCCTTTAAGCGCAGCAAGGTAAAGCGGAACGTGCCTAGGATAGCCCTTGAATCTTTTGTCCCCTGCCCAGAGTTACTTTCAATCATCATCATCATCATCATCCCCATCACACACAATAATGTCACATTCTTTTTCACACACATGAAACATTTCTGTGCCCTACTCTTGGAACCATACCTAAGGCTAACTTGGCTCCATCTGCATATTTGTTGTCTCTTGGAGCCGTCATCTCTAGCGCGGAATTCTCATTAGAGGCCTGCAACGTCAGGAGAGGGTCGAACCCAGCGACCTTACATTCCCCGGAGTTCCGAGCAGGGGAAGCGCGAGGGTGATTAATGTCCAGGCTTCGCCGTACCCCTGAGAAAGGCGAACACGAGGGCTCCAAATTTGGGGCCCGATTATTGGTGTAGAGTGCGTTGTCATACATTACGACATTAGAGGAGCGATGTGGAGGCAGGGAAGACATGGGAGAGAAGTTTGGGAAAGAGAGATCCCTCACATCGCAGGAATACGACTTGAGGTGGAGGGCCGACCTAAGATCGGATCTGTACTCTGAACCCTCCGTCGATTTTGTGTCGGGGAAGCATGACTTGATGGAAGGGCTCCTCCCCAGTTGAAAAGAATCAGTGTTTCTTGACCCCATTGTTTCTTTCTTCTGCTTCGATGTCCCTAAGCCAGCTAAACCGATCATCGTCAATTCATTAGGCGCCGATCAGAATGTACCCAATTGCTTCCTGATTCCTCCGGGAGAGAGAGAAAGAGACAGAGAGAAAGGACGAAGTGAGTACCTGAGAAGAATGGCGACGGTGGGAATGAGAGGAACGTTCCTTCGGCGCTTCACTGTCGACGGAGCGGGGAAACGTCGCAGCTTCAGGGAGAAATTCATTAAACTCAAAACTCGTTCCTTGCCTTTCTCCTTTTTTCGCAGGGAGAGGCCGTTGGCAGTTGCTACGAAAGCATATATACGATTTACGACCATTTGGAAGTATGGGAACTTCGTTCGTTGCTAAAGATTGAACATTCGTTTACCAAAAAAAAATAAAGATTGAACATTCAGCTGAGACTACGGGCTTGTTAATTGAATCATCAATGAACTTTGCTTCGAAAACAATAAAACCACGATCATGCCCGCTTCTAGTTTGGTCCGTTTACAAACAAGTCCCTTTACTTTGATTTTTAACGAACAAACATTCAAGTCGCCTCACATGATCGTCTATGGAAAACTCACTTTGCATACCACGCTAGCCCGTCTTCTAGATCTGACAAATTTGTAAGGATTATAGGTATAATATGTCCCTCTACTATGACGTTTTATCAAACATGCTCTTCTATTATTTTTTACATCAAACATGCCCATGTACTTTGTAAAAATGATCAAACATGCCCTTTTGTTTAAATTTTCATCCAAAAACCGTTAACCAAGGTCGAACTTTGGTTTGGGCGGCACAAATGTCTAAAATATCCCTAATAATTTCACTTTTAATTTTTTTTGTTGTCTTTTGTATAGCCAAGTAATTCAAATAATTTCACTTTGAAGACACCCAGAGAAATACAACGGGAGAAAATGATTTTCTCTCCCATTTGCTGATGTCGGGTCGTCTAAATCTCGGTTCAACCATGATCGAAGATTTTTTCAATGAAAAATTTAACATAAGGGCATGTTTGATAATTTTTTCATAGTACAGGGGCATGTTTGATGTAAAAAATAGTAAAGGGGCATATTTGATATAACGTCATAGTAGAGGGGCATATTATACCTATAACCCAATTAGTAAATTACGATCCGATCCAAACCCGCCCAAAAGACAGAAAGTTTTATAACCAAAAATTCAAAAGACCCAAACCCAATTAACCTGTGATTTTTTGGGTCGGGTTGGGTCCCTTCCATTTCATATGTAACTATCAAAATGATAAAATCACTTACAAATTGGTGAGATGTTTAAAAAAATTGGCAAGGATTTGAAAAACATGTTTGGAGTTTAAGGATAATCAAATATCATATATTTCTTGTAGTAGTATTACTCTTATGATATGTTTTTTGACGATTTGTACCATTTGTGTTTCATTTCATCGCCATGGGAAGATTTGAGAATATGTTAATTGACATGTGTTAGGTAAACTATTGTTATGCATATGTGAAGATTTTTTTTCTTTAAAAAAATATGAAACATGTTTCATACTGTTTCTGTGAGCGCTCATAACGCGAAATGACATGTAACCCGACCCAAAACTGAATGGGCTGGATCAATATCTGACCTGAATTAAGCCAATCCAACATGACCCGACCTGTAACTTGAAACCTCAACCCAAAATCACCCAACCCGGCCTGATTGCCAAGTCTACTGTCTTCCTGTATCATAGGCATTTTGAGAGATGTTTAATTACGGTCGTCGCTTCCGAGTGTACCAGAAGCCTTGGTCCGCCCAGATTTTTTCGACGCTCACAACCTCGCCAACACAAAATCATATTCGTTGTAGGGTTGATCAATCTAAGTCTAGTAAGTACTCCATTTAGTAAACGTATATGTTCCGTACGTATTTTATCCGTTTAAAACTTCCGTATTCGTATTATTGTCAAGTCGTTTTATTTATTCCCGTTCATTTGATGGCTCCAGTACTAAACACGTATAAAACTCGTATAACACGTTTAATAGCCGTATTTAATGAATTAAATTGATAACTTTACTATTAGTTATATATTAATTTATTTATAAAATAATTAATTTTATATATAATGACTATTAATGTACTTAAACGTAACATTAGCATAGAGACCGTATAAAAAGCAATCAAGATGCGTGTGGTTGGTGTTCGTCCTAGTCCTCTTCTGTGCTTAGCCATTATCGTCTCTATCTATAGATTGCCTCTCACCTCGAGATCTCAATGTAGTCTGAAATTTCTTCATGTCATCACAGATAATGGAGATCTCTGTTCACCTCAGAAGGCCATGTTAGCCACAGTGGGAATTTCCCAATTAATCCTGCTTAGTAAAATCCTTCATCAGGTTATCAATAGGTCGGATTCAATCCGGTTCTTTCCTTGTAAATTCTACTTGGTAAAACAAGCTTTCATTAAGTTGCCAACTAGTAAGATCAAAGATTTGTTGTCAAAAAAAAAAAAAAAATAGTAAGATCAAAGACAGTCTCTATCCAATCCCTACCCACTTGGGATTCGAGCAATGATCTTAGATTCTTAGTCATTATCATTCTACAAGCAGCTTGATTAATGATCTTAGTAAAATATATGAGGACCCAAGGTACATAACAATTGACGATGTTCTGAAGATGATGGAGAAGAAGCCTACCACCATGAAACTATTTGTACAATCGAAAAAACGGGAACAGAAACCGAACATAAGAGGCACCAAATCTCAGAATTCTCAAAATTGACAAACGAATCTTACGGATTATATAAACGTCTCTTTTACCCCACTCCTCCAGCTTTCGATACTCGACGAATGCATCATCTAAAAGCCGAAAATTATAAAAAAAAAAAAAAAGGCTATTCGACTCAATGAGACGGACTGAAGTTATCAGACTACTTGGTAATTCTCTGTAACCAACTGCGTCCTCTGGGAGAATTTTGGAGGAGCTCCGCCTCTGAGAGGAATGACAGTGGCAACCTGCATTCCAACAGCATAAGACGTTTCAACTTTTACAGCGTCGGAAAGCGCCTAGGCAATTTACGAACCCCAAAATGAAACAATAGATGGCATTAGCAGGACAGAAAAGCACACCTTCACATCACTGTATGTACTAGCAGCTGAGAATCGGACAGAAATGGGGAAGAAAGCTGACGTATCTGCTGGAGGTACAACAAACTCCATTGATCCACTGCAAAAGAAGACGAGAGAATCAAATACTGCGTCAAAACCAACCTAGCGTGAGGATACACCATCAAGAATTCTTCACGTTCGGCAGGAATGAAAATATCGGTTATTAGATTACCTGCGGTTCGAGTTATCGATAAGAAGAATAGACCATTCCAAAACAGAATTTCGGGAATCAAACCTACAAGTTTGAAAACACATGTTAGTGACTCACAGTTGCATTGCATATCATGTTTATGCAGTTCGATTTGAACATAAAATCATGGCAGCCAGTACTCAATACAACTACATGTGCATTCACATGAATTTCCTTTTACTATACCCGGGACCTCTTTATATGCACAAAGATTCACAACATCCGAAATCACATACTGCTCTTCCATCCAGCTTATTTTTACCCCGTTCCAATTTAAAATGGACGATGATTCACTGATATGGCTTACTGCTTGAGAAGAAGCTCCAATAAACCCAAAGAAGAAAATATATTTTTCAAGGCAAATGGCGCCGACTTTGTTAGAGGGTATCATTTCCCAGTATATAGAACCCCGCTTTTATTTAATCACCTTCCACAAAAACAAAACTAAGTTCATTACCTCCACTCGCCATCGACCTGCCTAACACGTGGTGCCTCTCTTAGAGCTGGAAGAGGAACTGAGATTAACACATTCTGCAGATCGAACATGGACGAAGATTCATATTCAATGCTGACATATGTCTCGTTTCCGGACACAGAGGGCCAGCAGTTGACTGCAGTATAAAAAGACACCTGGTAGATCAGTACAAGAAATACGTGTTCCATCGAAAGAGTGAGAAATAATGTAGTAGCACAAAATCACCCACTTATTAGTGGCACCATTGACTCATCTCCACTTTGCATTCTCCACTTCAAAAGACCAACTCCAGCAGCATCACCAGTTTGACCAGTAGGAAAAGGCCTATTTGGGTCCTTCAAGCCCAGAATGTTCTCATTTGCAAATAGTTCCTTGTTCATGTTAGGGTGAGTCTTGAAAATGACGCCTTGGTTCCGGCTGGTTTCAATCTAAATGAATGAAACAAAGTATAAAAGCATCACAAAATAACATCTCTGGGACGGATCAGTAACACTTGAATATAATACAGCCAATTGAAAGACGCAGTTAACAGCATGCACATCGCCATGATTAATGTAGTTTTGATGGAAGCCTGGTTTCCATCTTATTTTTTATATTCGCACAATTATTTATGCTTTATGGTATTTTTGGAATTATCGGGATATTTGAGTACATTTAAAGGGGCTTTTGGGTGTTATTTGGTATTTTCGTGATAATGGTTAATTATGGGTAGTTTAAGAGAATTTACCGGGTTATGGATTCAATTAAGCACCTACAGAAGAAAAATTGTCCCTAAAACTAATCTCTCCTCCCACTCTCTCTCTCTCTTCCCTCTCTCCTTCGTCCTCCCTCCCAAACGAACCCCTCTTCTTCTTGCTTTCTTCTATCCTAACCTACCTCTAACTCGCCCCCCATTTATCCCCAATATCTTCTAAATCCCTAACTCCCAATCCAATTCTCAGCTATCTAACCCTACCAGGGACCCCACTAGATCCTGTTTCCATCAAGTTCTCATACCAAAGCATAGGACTGTTTCTAAACAGGCTTCATGCAACACAGCGCTATATACTACTAGCAGAAAAGACCAACTCAAAAGTCCAAATGTAAATATTACTCTTTGTAATAAAGATATAAGTAATATATAACAGTTTTAACCTAGATCTAGAAAGAAATAATGATTCTGTGAATACAGAGAAGTTACACAATGGAACACAACCGAAGGGGGAGATGTTCAACTTGAAAACCACGCCTACATGCTCATAGGGGAGGCCACTTCAGATTTACAGGGAAAAAAAGTAGGGGAAAAGATGGAGAGAAAACCTGAACTTGGATCAGCCCATCTTCCTGGTTAAGAATCTGAAGTGACAATTGCCCTTGAACATCAAAGTTGCTTATTCCACCATCCCGTTTCAGAGTGACATTCAGCTTCTCCTCCACATTAAGAGTGATTGGGTCAGTTAGTGGTGCAGCAACAGTTCTTACTTGACCTGCACTTGGTTGCACTTCTTCATTGATGACTTCACCTTCTGCCTTCAAAGACTCCAAGAACTGGTTTGTCCTTTGAGTTTTACCAAGTTGCATGCCAAGACCTTTAGCAGGTGCAGTAGCAGATGAAGGTGGACGACCTGGCATCACCAAGCAAAGTGTTGAGAAATGTTCCACCCAGTAAATGAGTCAAACTAACTAAACAGCAAAATTAAATTAGCAGCACAAGTAGCATCAACCAAATAAAGTTTTGAAAGGAAAGTGAAACAATAGGAAACCATTTCTGGCAGAAAACAGCAACTTACAAACACAACTCACAATGATCAGCCAACCTAAAGATAAGATAACCAATAAAGTCACACAAGTAGCACAAGATGCAGAACAAACCTTTTGACTTGCTGGAGAACGAGTCAATATCAGTGTTCAATCCAAACCCAGAACCACTTCCAAAGCCACTTCCACTGCTAGAAAGATTCATATCATTGAAGCTACTCTCGATTCTTCCAGAGCCCATTGATTGTAATGACATGAACCCTCCCTTCTCGCCCCTATTCTTTTCAAGCTGAAAGAATTGAAAGATTTTATCAGAACTTTAACCTGCAATAAAGCTAACCTTTTCCAATACAATGTTGATGGGTGCAATTCACAAAACTTCAGCAGACACCTTGCTTTTGTCAATTTCACTAGCTTTTCGCTTCATGACATCCTTGGTTTCATTGATCTTGCTCTGCATTACTAGCTTATGCAATTTCTCTTCATGACTCTCCATCTCACAGTACTGCTTCACCTGGGCAACAGTTACATTGTCCTTGTGCCCAAGGGAGATGACCTCATCAAAGGCAAAAATCAACTCGAAAGCTGTCTTGCAAATACCCTCTTCGTCAAGAGACATAGCATACTCGGGTACCTAATTTAAGAACACGGATATCAATTGCAAGCCTTGTCAGATCATCAGGAATAAAATAGTGCATCTGAGAAGAAACGGTCAAATAGAATAGGAAGGCCACCGAAGGATTTATTCAAATATATATATTAAAAAAAACACATTAACGATAATCAAACAGGCCAGAAGAAGGAAGATACCAGCTTAGAGAGGAGCCGAAGAGTCTCTAGATCTTCAAGAATGTTGCTCTGCTTATTTGTCACGAGCAGTAAATACATAAGCTCTATTGGCTGGTACACATAGCGTACATTCTCAGTCTCGACATATGTATGCTGCTTTCCCGTACCCACCAACTTAGGGAATGCAGCCAGAAGACCTTCAATCCGTATACGAGACATGTCCACAAACTGCCTAGAGACAAGAACTGAACCGAAAACAAAGAACTGTTAATGCAACCAGGAACTGGAATTTGGTCACTTCCAAAACAATAGCCTCTATCACTAATGGCAATACAGATGCACCAACTTCAATAGCACATACTTCAAGAAAAGCTGCCATACAGTTCAACGCATTAGTATATATGTGTCGGGATTCGGGACATGGTCCATATCTCCAAGAACAGGTTAAATTTGGCACTACACAAGCGAAGAACTCAAATGCACGACACTGCATCATAAATGTAACCTAATTTCATATACAACAAAGGTGCCTCGCAGATCACAACATTCTGCAGCATGAACAGCATGTTCTAGAACAACAAGGACGATGCGCTGAAGCTTTCGGAAAAGGAAGACACTGGATCGGATGTAAAGGAACAAGAAGACTCACCTTTCCCAGACTTGGTTACAATAGAAGCTGCAAGCACAACCTGCACAGATGGAGTAAAACACACAATTCAGATCAAGGATCAATCAGAGAAAGAGAGAGGAAAATCGAAGTGCACGAAGCTTACCATCTTGATTGATAGAACGATGAACGAAGATACCACAATCAATGCCGCACACGAGAGTTCGACTTCACCACCTAGAAACCGAAGTTTCAGTCAGCCACACGAACTTATCAAATTGTACAAGCACCGGTGTTCGGATCAATAACAGCAGAATCCGAATTCAATCTAAATCTCAGGCTTCCAATGCCAACGGATGCATTGACAAACCAAAGAGATCTACGTAATTGAAGAAGCGCCAAGCTCAGATCTATATTATCAGCTCAACAGGCCGCAGTACCACTCTGTTTCGCCTACCGAATGAGAGAGAACGACATACAAATAAGCGAACAGTACGATTTCGAAGTCGACCGATTGCAAATTGGGAATGCGTTAACTAAAGTTCTTCAGAGTTTTACAAGGATCGCCGGAAAATTGAACGGAGAATAACCGGAGGAACGAGATCGCCGCCGAGATTGAGGTTTTAGGAATTTGTAAACGGAGAGGGATAGGAAGAAATTACAATGACGCCGGAAGAGATCTGAAGAAGAAGAAACTTACCTCTGGATCTACTGATTTCAGTTCTTGTCTCCTGAATTGCCAAGGAAGAGAGGAAGAAGCAGCAAAGTGTGCGTTTCTCGCGATCGACATGGGATTCCAATTTCCCGAACAAACTGGGTTTTTATCCAATTGAGTTTCATGATGGATGGCCCATTTGAAATCCAGATACAGCATTATGGATCTTCTTCGGCCCGCTAACTTACAGTTTTTTTCTTATATATAAAAAATAATAATTTAATGATATATGGTTGTGTTTTTTACATTTTGATGCCTTCTTAATATGTTTTTTTTAATGGTTTTCAAGGTACAAAGCAATTTAGGAAGATTTGGATAACTCTGTAGGATCAAAAGAGCTATAAAGAAAAGAATATAGAGCTTTCATGTTAAAGACGAGGTCCAATAACGGAGAAGCATACTAGTAACCATGAGTAGAGTCCAAGAGTAGCCCAATGGAGGAAGACTCGGCCAAAGCAGAAGAAACAACCAGCGCCTTGTGTACCGCTGCTCAAAGGTCAAACCCAAACAAGATATCTTTAGGTCATGCTTCGGCCCCAAGTCAAAGAAACTGTGTCCTAGTAGGGTTAGGAAGATTTTGGTCGTGCTCTACCACTATAAATAGGGATCAAGGCTCATTAGTTATGTAGGCTGCACAATTTCACCCAAAACCTTTTGTAGACACTCTGTTCGAGTGAGAGCTTAGCATTTGGCTTAATTGCAAGTTTGATCACTCGAACTGCTACAAAATTTCACGTTTGGTCACTAAAATTGGGTTATTCCATTAATAGTCACTTAAATTAGTTGAACAGTCCAAGTTCGGTCACTCTCCGTTAACCTCCGTTAGACTTCGTTAATGACGACCGTTAAGTGATGACGTGACTAACAGAAAATTACAGTCAGCATATTTTAACCATAAAAAATGACTACCCGACCCACCACGTCAAATTTGCTCGCCATGTCACCCTTCCCTACCCAACCTGCAAACCAACCCCATAATCGACCCAACCCCAAACCCCCTGAATCTGAAAAGTAAAATCGAAACAGGAAAGGGTAGGTCACTTTCCATTCTCCATCGTCCTCTCATCCTCCATTGCCTTTCTTTTCACTTCATTTATGGGTTCTCCGTTTTCCTGTGGCATGAGCAACGATTCGTTGCTAGATAACAGTAATCATGCCTATTTTCCCGAAGAGCAGCACAATTGGGGACCAAATCAGGCTCAGAAGGTCCAGTAGAAACAACTTCCATTCCCATCATCTTCATCGCCATTAGCTAGACCCAACAGCTAGGGCTGCCAATCGAGTTTGCGGTTACCGGTTTAACCGGTTACCGTACCGGTAGCCGCGGTAACCGGTTAAACCGATAACCGACAAACACGGTAATCGGAGGCGATTTCTTGGCTGGCGGTATGCCGAGACCGACCTTGCCATTTACCGACGGGTGATCGGTATTCCGACACCGAATTGGAAAGGGATTTTCAGTGAATCTCAAGCGCGGATCGGCAGAGTATAAAACGAAACGTCGGCCTCGACCACCCACCCTAAAAAAGCCCAACCCTATTTTCATGATTTCATCCCCTGCCCAGCTGCCCTGACGCCCTGACTGGTGACTGCTGCACGACCACGAAGTCACGAACTAGTCGTCGACCGCCGATCCCGCCTCCTCCGTTCACTTCATCGTCGTTGGGTCTTGGGTCGTCGTTGTTTCCGTCGAAGCCAGCCGTCGAACCCCGTCGTCTCCGTAGCTAGCGACGGGAACAAGACTCAGCAGACAGCCGCCCAAATCCAGGCTCTGTTTCCGGGAAGTTCCTCCCGTCGCCGTTCAGCTGTCCGTTGAGCAATAGAATTCGCCAATTCGGTTGTCTGTTGCGGTGTTGCCTACTTTGCATTTTTGTTGCCTACTTTGCGGTGTTGCCTACAACCGAAAACAGAGCAATAGTTCCGCTGTCCGTTCCGCTGTCGCCGTCCATTATAGAGGTAAAGGCCGCGTAAAGCAATAGAATTCGCCAATTCGGTTGTCTGTTGCGGTGTTGCCTACTTTGCATTTTTGTTGACTACTTTGCAACAGCCAACAATAGAATTCTGTTGAAAATTGAAATACATGCTCTGTTTTCCCTTACTTTCGTGAAACAATATAATTATGCATCACCAAATCTGTCATCGTGCATGCTTGCATTTGTGTTAGAGACTTATAGTGGTGAAGGAAACAACCAAACAGGGGATATATGAATAATTGATGAAGCAAAGCAAGTAATTGATTTCAATTGTTTGATTATTAACTAATAATTACTAATTAGTTTGCTTTAGTTTTCATTTTTGTAGGTTTACATAGAGGCAGAGCCGAGCACAGCCCCTGATCCCAGCATTCGAACTTTTGTTGTTATTTACTTGAGAAACCAAGTAAAATATGTAAGATTTAAGATAGTTGTTTAATTTTTAATGTTTATGCCTTTTTTGACATGTTGGCAATTTTATGATTTTTAATATTTTACATTTTTTCTTTTTTGTTGTAGGACGAAATCTTCTCGTCCTCGTAAAGGAGATGCTCCGAAAAAAGGTGGTTCTATTCCTCCTCGAACCACTTCCAAAAAAGTGGGTGCTCGTGTTGGAGCTGCAGAAGGGATTCAAGGGAATGTCTCATCTAGTACACCTACACCTACCAGTGCTGCCATTACATCTCCACCTGCTACTGCACCTCCTGCAGCTGCCACGCCTACACAGGTGACTGATATGGGAAGGGGAGCAGATGAAGTGGGTGAGGCAAAGAAAATTGTGAAGGTGACAAAAAGGAAGAAGAAGTCCGTGTGGTGGACTCCTTATGATGAGGTTCTGGTGGATGACTACCCATATGGCAAATGCAAAAAATGTGGAACGTTGATCAAAGCTCACTCGACCAATAACGGGACTTCTGGTTTGAAGCAACATCACTTGGCATGTGAGAGGAAGAGGAAGGAAGCCAGTGGTCAATCACTATTGAACTATCAACCTGGGGATGGTGAGGTAGGCTCTCTTACTCCATGAAAGTTTGATCAACAAAGAGCTAGAACTGCATTAGCTGTTATGATCATCTTGGATGAGCTGCCATTTCGCTTTGTTGAGCATGAAGGGTTTAAGAGATTTATGGCGGTAACACAACCATTGTTTATGATACCTGGAAGACAGACAATAAGGCAGGATTGCTATATAATCTTTTTGGAGAAAAAAGAGTTGCTATCTGAGTTCTTCAAATCCAAGTGCAAAGGAAGAATTTCTATCACCACAGATACATGGACTTCTGATAACAACCAGAATTTCATGTGTGTGACTGCTCATTTCATTGGGAGTGACTGGAAGCTGCAAAAGAGGATCATTAGCTTTGTTCCCATCACTAGTCACACAGGGAAGGACATTGCAGAAAAATTGGCAGAATGTCTACAAGATTGGAAAGCACAACAGTTGTTTTCCATTACCATGGATAATGCTTCTTCTAATAATGTTCTTGCAGAGTGTATGAGAACAAAGATGAAAGAGTGGGGAACAGATTTGATTGGTGGGAAGTATTTGCAATTTCGATGTGTGGCACATATAATCAACTTGGTTGTGTCGGATGGGTTGAAGGAGGTTGGAGTTGTTGTGGAAAGGGTTCGAGATTGTGTTAAATGGGTGAAGTCATCACCAGGTAGAAGTGCAAAGTTCAAATCTGCCATTGATTATCTATCGATGGATGGAAGAAGACTTCTATCTTTGGATGTTCCAACTAAGTGGAACTCCACTTATTTGATGTTGGAATCTGCAGAAAGGTTTGAGACTGTCTTTAACTTCTTGCATGGAAGCCCCAATGATTCTGCATTTCGGGATTATGTGGACTCAAAGAGAGGTCTTCCAACTAAGGAAGATTGGACCAGTATTCGACGGCTAATGAAGTATTTGAAGTTCTTTTATGAGCTCACCTTTCGGGTATCAGGTATGTGAACAAACATAACTCTTTTGTATTCAACTTGTAATTCAACTAATTTGTGAATAATTTGTTGTTATTTTTTGATGTATCAGGAACATCTTATGTGACTGCTCATACTTTCTTCAAGGCTATTGCTGACATCTATGAAGTGATAGAACTTTTTAAGAAAGACATGGATGTAGAGATACAACGGATGGCAGCAAGAATGGAGGCAAAGGTACGAAAGTATTGGTTTGAGAATGATAATAATGATGAAGATGATGATGACGAGGGGGAGAACCTAAGGATAAATAGGCTGGTTTACATGGCTTGTGTGCTAGATCCTAGGCGTAAAATGGCTTATTTATATTGGATGTGGGGTAAGATGTATGGGCAGAAGAAAAGAGACGATTTGGTGAAAGATGTGACTGCAGAGATGACTGCAATGTTTGAGGTTTACAGATTGAAGTATGCACCTCAACCCTCCGAGCCTACTGTTACCACTCCTAGTGTTGATGATGGTACTGGATCTGCATCTTATGGAGGGACATTTGATGCTGAATTCTTCAAGATGAGAAAGGAGCAACTACAGAGGGGGATTCGAGGTTCTTCTGAGCTAGACATCTACTTAAGAGATGTTGATGATGCTATTAACGAAGATGATAATGATATGAAGTTTGACATCTTGCTGTGGTGGAGTAAGAACAACGTTAGATATCCTATTCTTTCCCAGATGGTTAAGGATATCCTAGCTGTTCCAGTCTCCTCTGTTGCCTCAGAGGCTGCTTTCAGTTGTGGAGGTCGAGTGCTCAGTCAGTTTAGGTCTTCGTTGAGCCCCACCATTGTAGAGACCTTGATTTGCTCTGAAGATTGGATAAGGTATGAAGGAGGAAAGAAAGCAGACAAAGTTGATGATACAGAAGATGAAAATCAAGACCAAATCGATTATGAAAGTGGTAAGAATTCTTAATTTCATTTATTTTTAAGTTTTCCGTTACTCAACTTCTGATTACATATTATTAGATGAATTCTAACAATTTGTATTTTTTTACACTTAGTCACTACTAACTTCCAAACTCGAATGGAGAGTGCTACTACCAAGCCAAGTGAAGGTGTCAAACAAAGTTACCTGTTGTGGTGGAGGAGGAAGAGGAGGAAGATTCAGACGAGGATGAGGAGGACCAAGATGAGGAGGACCAGGACCAGGACGATAATG